CATTCTGAAATAAAGAGGATTTGAAATAACAAACCAGCCTCGGTCCTGCTGTGCTGTGTGCATCCTCCAGAGGCGCAGGTCTGAGCCAGGGAGGGACAGGCGCCCCAGGGGCTCTGCCCTCCGCTGGTTTCCCCCACAAGGGCCCTGTCTGGGCTGTGAGCTCAGGCCAGAGAATGCACGTGGGAGTCTGTGCTGTGCCAGGTGGGCAGCCCCAGGGTCCCCCAGGGCAGTGTATATTGGTGGGTGCACAGAGGCCCCTGCCCACCCCTAGCTGTAGCTAGGAAGGCACTGCCCCTGCTTGGCCCTGTGCCGGGGACAGGGAGGGCTCAGGAGGGCACGCCTGCACTAAGGGGCAGGGCACAGGGGAGAGGAGGTGGAAAATGTGCCCGGTGGAGTCCTGCTGGGTCAGGGAGGTGCGGAGGACCTCCAGCTGGCCTGCTGGCCCCACCCACCCACCTGGGGCCTGTCCTCATCCAGAGCATTTGGGAAGGGCCAGGCTGGCGGGCTCACCTCCTTCCCACCCTTCTGTCAACCCATCAGCCTGGTTCCTGAAAGCAAAACCACTGGCTGAGAACATGACACCAACTGCACTTAGCAAACAGAGGCGGACGCCAAGGCCCCCATCAGGACGCCCCTGCCGCCGTGTCAGGATTGGCCAGAGCCTTGCTCCGCTCCTGCCGCCTGGGCACAGGCTTCCTCTCTGCCTCCAAGGACCTTGGCAATCCCATCTGGAAGGGCTGGCCAGGGCGGCTGCTCTATCCCGCCCACATCCCAGACGCTCTCCAAACCCCTGCCAGCGGCTCCATTCGGGCCTCCTATCTCTTCCCATTTCTAGCCTCTGCTCCGGGCCAGGCAGGGCCAGTGTGCTGAGGGATCAGCCAGGAGATGGAGCGTGCTCCTGCCTGCACCGAGGCATCCTGGAGCGCACGCACATGTTTAGCTGAGGCCCCGGGGTGGGTTGTGGGGCTCGAGGCTGCCAGAGAGAGGCCCAGGCAGTGAGTGTCCTGGGCTGACAGAGGACCCGAGCCCGTCAGAACTGGTGGCCTCACATTTCCCTGTCCTGACCCCGGGGTGTGGAAGCCCTCCTGGTGCTCTGGAAGGTTCCCAGGGATGCCCACCAGCCCCTGCAGGCAGCCCTCTGTGCAGGGCTGTCCTCACACAGCAGCCCGTGTACGCCTGGCTGCTGTGGGTGCCAGAGAAACGAGAAAGCGCTGATGTGGCCGTGGCTGACCATGAGGCAAGGTTGTTGGCGTGAGGTCTAGAGACAGGGCAAGCCCCTCGACTGGGTGTCAGAGCAGGCTCCCTGGGAGAAGGGCCTGGGCCCTGGTCCTCAAGAGCAGTTAGGATCGCTGTGTAGGTAGGGACGGCTGGACGAGGAGGAGAAGGGGGGTCCCGGAACCCCGGGTTAGCCACGGTGGCTGGGGTAGAGGCAGTGCAGAGGGCGTTTGGTCAGGAGTGGTCGGAGTGGAGTGAGGGCTGTGGGGTTTTGACTGTGCCTGGAGCTAGTGAATGTCGCCGGGTGCTGCGGCCTGTGGGGATCGCGGGCCCGATCTCGAGGGTGTCATTTGCACAGACTGCAGTGTCCATGGGCCCTGGAGGTGACCGTGCGGAGTGACGTGGTCAGGGCGCCCCGAGCCACAGCCAGTCTTCAGGCTGCAAGATGAAACGCTGACCAGGCGGATGGCAGCGTGAACATTTAGCCTGACTGGGTTCTGTGATCCAGTCAGTAGAGATGTTCATGTTCCATTCTCTGAACTAATACAATGAGCACTGTCACCCCGACAATAGCACCCCCAGCACCATCAACCACAACACCTCCACCTCCCCAGCAGGTCAGCCTGAGCCCAGCAACCACAGAGCCCAAGCCCAGCACCTCCCCAATCCGTCCATAATGCGTCCATAATGTCCTTTCCGTACCTAATACCCTTGGCATCAGGAAGAGCATCAACCAAAGGCCAGCACCACAGAGCAGGCATAAGGTTGGCGTGTTCCCCCTTGATGCCAGCTGGGTCGAGGGACGAGATGGCCTGCCAAGGGGCCCGGGGCCAGCCTGTCTCTCCTCTCGCCACACCCCCTCCTGAAGCCTTGAGTAGTTGAGTACAGTTGGTTTGGTTTGGTTCTTGTTAGATGTTTGAAGTGAATTATGACCAGGGCAAGAGGCAGGTAGACTCCTACGCCTGGCTGGGGGATTGCGTGGCTTTCCTCGCAGTTGGGGCCACGTAAGTGCTCTGCTTGCTCCCTGGGACACCTTCTTCGGCGTTTGGGGCTAATGAAACTTCGGGCAGGAAACAGCCCGGACAAGACCCTGGGCACATGCTGCCCCTCTCCTGGGGCCTGCTGCTTGGCATCTGCAGACAGTGCTGCTCGGTAGGATGCCACTCGTAGGCCCCAGCGGCGGCCTGTCCCTGGCCCTGGCCCTGCGGTAGAGCATGGACTCTCCTGGGGCCCACCTCGCCCCTGGAGCCCAGGGGTCGTTTGGAGCTATGCCTGGGACACACCACGTAAGCTGGTCTGACTAGCAATTGGAGTGAAGGGGACAAAATCAATGTTCGGTTTGTCTGTACAGTCCTGTCTCCCCCAGACATCGTCATCCCTCCTGTCCTGAGCAGCGGCCTCGGCTCCCAGAAGCCCCTGGAAACCTGGGCCAGGGTCAGGGAGAAGCAGACAGGGAAGCTGGGTGTTCTCTGAGGCCTGGCGGCCCATGGCATGAGGAGGGCCTGGCGGCTGGCTGGGCAGTATGGCTCCAGGAACTGCAGCTGCTTCCCAGAGAAGCTGTGAGCAGCCAGGTTCCTCCATGAGGACGGGTGAGCAGCTTCCTGGGAGGGCGGGGCCGGCATGCTGCAGGCCCCAGCAGGGCTGTCCGAGGCCTCCTTTCTGAACTAAAGCTGGCGGGGGGGGGGCTGGTCAGGACATGGCCCTTGCCCTGGTCCGTCGGGGTTCACTCCCTCCTGTGGGAGGCATTCTCCAGCCCGCTCCCCAGCCTTTCCAGGGCTCCGTGGCTCCCTCTGCCAACCCTACACCTCACTGGGGGAGGAGAGCAGTTCAGTGATGCCTGGTAAACAGCTCGTGACCTCTGCCCTGGGACAGTCTGGGCAGTGCCTGGCTACTCCCAGGGCAGTCCTCGGACCAGCGTCACCTGGGGCCCCACCCAACCTCCCGAATCAGAAGCTGCATTTGAGCAAGATCCCCAGGCCATTCACTGCATGTTCGACCTGAGGCGGCAGGAGTGAGGCAGCGGGCAGCGGGGAGGGTTTACCAGCAGTGCCGGCCTCTGGAATCAGGCTCCTCTCCTGGAAAATGAGGGTCTTGATACCAATGGCCCAGCAGGTGGAGGGGATCAGAGGAGTGATGCTCACCACCACCACCACCCCTCCCCGCCCTCCCGTCAGCACAGCTGGTGCGTGGCAAACCCACTCCCCACCCTGTCCAATAGGAGAGTGCCTTTTGTGGGGAAGGACCCTACTTGCCTGACTCGAAGAAGCGTCTTCCTCCCTCCCTGAGGGACTTGGGGTACTGGGGGAGGCTTCAAGCCCAAGTGTCCCTCCGCCAGATCCCGCCGTCACTACCTGTTCCAGGAGCTTGAAATCTGTGTCTCCATCCCCTGTCTACGGAACAGAGTTGCTAATACCCATGTCAGAGGGTGACGGTGAGGACTACAGACAGAGGCCAGGCACACGGGGCCAGGTCAAGAACAAACTCCGTGCAGGGCCACCCGCGACGGGAGCCAGCTCCTGCTCTGTGGCAGCAAGTCCCCGTCTCAGGCTCGAGGCCGGGGGGCAGAGAATGCATTTCTTTGCTCTCCTGTAACTTGGCTTGTCTCTCTGCCCAGTTTCCCAGGTGGCAGAAATCCAGCCCATCAGCCCAGGCTCTGGTGCCCCCTCTTCCTGGGAGAGGTTTGGGGAAGAGATGCTCACTGAACAGCAAGGCAGGCAGGGTGGGCACCTGGGCACCTGGCCCTGGTCCGTCTCCCTGTGCTGGCACCTGCCGGGATATCCCTTCCCATCTGGTCACACTGGTCACACTGGTCTACACTGGCACTGCAGTCCCCCCCTTGTTCCCAGCCACTGGTCTTTCAGACATGCAGGCACTCAGGGCCACAGCACATCACCTTGGGCATGTGAGAAACCCTCTGGCCGCCAGGCCACACGAGGGCCTGGGCACCTCAGGATGGTCTTGAATCCGTCTGCTCCTTCACCACGGGTACGGGAGACCCTGAGATCCTGCCACCTCTCTGGTTTATCCGGGAAAGGGGCACCGTTGCCTCTATTTCTGAATCCCCCACGCCACGTTAACCCTTTCTGGTCCAGATAACCTTGATCAGCCTGGCATGGCAGCTTTCATCCATCTTCCGAACGCGCTGTCACTGCCTGAGTCCTCCACCGCCTAAGAGCCCAGGCTCTCGCCACTCTAGAGCCTAAGCCGTTGACCCTCAAATGTCTACCTCTGCTTTTCTCAAAGGCCGTGTGCCTGCGACTAAATGCAGAAGGGAGGAAAGCAGGATGGGGTTTTCCATCACACTGTGTTTTTGTACTCAGAAAAACCAGGAAGCACAAAAATGGGGGGTTCTTGCTCTGCCAGAGCGTCAACCTATGAACCAGGAGGTCACAGTTCGATTCCAAGTCAGGGCACATGCCCAGATTTCAGGCTCAATCCCAGTGTGGGGCATGCAGGAGGCAGCCAATCAATGATTCTCTCTCATCATTGATGTTTCTCTCTCTCCCTCTCCCTTCCTCTCTGAAATCAATTATATATATATTAAAATGGGGTGTTCTTACCAGGCTTGAGAATAATTTTGATGTTACTGTGATCCTCCTTGTGGGCTGAGCCCTTCCCTCTTGGGGTCCTGAGGGCCTCTTTCTCTGAAGCTGGGAACAGGCTTCTGGAAGATCCTACTCCGCAGTATGAACGGTGCCTTCTGCCCAACGTGCCTCTGCTGCAGACACCACCGCCATGCAGAGGGCCCCCTTGACCTGTTGTCTTTCTTGGTCCCGCCTCATCAGCACCCCTACTGAGCATGCTCCAGTGTGCACCAGCCAGGCCACCACCCCGCTGCTGCCCGCTTCTGCCCAGCCGCCTACTGCTGCCTCTCCCAGCGCAGCCTCGCCACCCCTGGCTGCAACCGCTGCCCATGCTGCCACTGCCTCTGCCTCGGCCCCTGCTTCAAGCCCTGCGGACAGTCCCAGGTAACTGCCCCACAGGTGCCACCCCGGCTGTGGGGAAGGGAGGCAGGAGTGGCCTCACCCTGGCTCCATGTGTGGGCAGCTGTGTCTCACCCTCAGAAAGGCCCACCCCAGGTGGTTAGGAGCCCAGGGCCCAGGAGGCCAAGGCTAGCACTGCCTGCTGCAGAGAGTGCAGGGGAGTGTGAGTGTGGCTGAAGACAGGAGGGGATGTGGGCCCCTAACCTCTCCTTGGGCAAGAGAGGGATCTCTCTCTCTCTCTCTCTCTCTCTCTCTCTCTCTCACTCACGCGCGCGCGCGCACACACACACACACACACACACACACACACAGTAAGACAGCAAATGGAGACTGGAAAGTCTGTTTCTGGAACTGAAATTAGGGGAATGGAAGTTGTCGCCTGGGTTGGGGAAGCTGAGGAAAGCTCCTTGGAGGGAGGAGCATTGACCTGGTCACAGGAGACAGGCCAGATATTTAGCAACTGACGTGCCCTTGGCCCTTAGCCTCTGCTCTCTGGGCGGAGAAGCAAGAGGCACCTGGTGCAGTGTGGCTTCCACCTCTCCTCCGCCACTTCCTGTCTGTAATCTCCAGAAAGTTACTGAATCTGAACGTCAGTTTCCTCATCTGCTAAGACGTTTAATGCAACGTTGATTTGTAGGGTTGGGACAGGAAAAGTGTGCCTAAGCCACCTCGCACACAAAGTGGTCTCCAGTGTTGCAGCATACTGCTCCCCACCCGTTCTCCTGGCGCCCAGCAACGGGGCTGGGTGGAGAGCACCTGGGGAGGTGGGGGCAGGCTGGCAGGTGGTCTGGCACAGCCAGGCAGCAAGCAGGCCTCCAGACCCAGCTCTCTACAGGCTGCATGGAGTGTCCACCTGGTGTTAGGGTCAGAGCCAGCTCTCAGTCTCCTGCCCTCCCCACCTCCCTCATCCCCCCCCCCCCCCCGCCCCCGGTTTTGTGGAAAGGACATGCCTCTCTGCGTCGGGTGCACAAGTCCCTGGTGCAACCTGAGGAGGATGGCGAGGGGCAGATTAGCCACAGGCCTGCAGTCTGTACCCCTAGCCCTGGGCTGTACAATGACCCAGGTGGTGCAGAGCTGGCCTTTCCACAGCCCAACTCAAGCCTCAGGGTGAGCCCACCCCTCCCTCTGCGCACCAGAATGGCTCCGGTGAGAGCCAAAGAAGGCAGAGGAGGGTTGAAATGTCCCTGCTGCGGAGTGGAAAGATGCCCCCCCCCCCCCCAGTTTGGATTGGGGAGCTGTAGATGTGGGCCCTGCTCAGGCTCCAGGCCTCTATCCTGGGCCCTCAGGGCTCCTTCAACAGGGCAAACCCTTCCTTCACTTTGTTTTGCAAAGAGAGTGATGCCTGGGTGGAGGCTGGGGAGGAGCCTGGAGAGCTCCCACGTGGGCTGGAGCAGAAGGGAGCAGGAGACCACCTCCGGGCCCAGCTCCCTCCCTTCTGACACAGGGGCTGGGATGGAGGTAGAGGGAGCAAGTGGGAGGCAAATGGCCACCCAAACTGTCCTGGAGCCTGGCCTCAGAATTCTTGCTGGATATCGGAAGCCTCGGCCTCCTCCTCCAACAGCACCCTCTGACCAGGACCGCTGCTCCTGGGATGTGGGGAAAGCGTCCTCCACGGGGGAGAAAGACTGGCTGACACCCACTACCTTGGCCTCCTCCCACCAATGGAAGCAGGGCACCCCATGGACACTGCCTCCTCCTCTTCCCTGGAGGCCCCTACTCCACTGGTCTCGACAGGTCGGTCAGAGAAGGGCAGGCCCAGGAAGGGGAGACGATGGCCTCCCTCAACCGGCAGCGTGGCAGTGTGGCAGGGCAAGCTGCCTCCACCGGGCCCAGGACGAGGGTTGGAGGCTTGGCCACTGGCACTGTCTGCACCTCCCACCGTCTGAGGCAGCTCGAGGTTCTAGTTCAGGGCCACGCCCTCCAGAGCAGGAGAGACAAGGCAGGCCCTGCTCCTGTGGCTCCGCCCAGCGTGATGCACGAGGGGGTGGGGGAGGGGCATTCAGGCCAGGTGGAAGGAAGGCAGGAAGCCATGGGCTGGGGAGGACAGCATGTTTCCAGGGGCTCATGTCTCTAGCACCCCATTTCCACTGGGTGTGGTCACGTGGTCCCTGTGGGATCTGGAAAAGGTAGGGAGAGACAAGGGCGTGTTCTGTAAGATATTCATTAGTTTTAAATGAGAAAAGAAAAGGAGGGGCAGGGTTCACAGACAAATGAAATTGGGGCACACTGGATCAGCCACAGTAAAACAAGCTGCTCCACTCCAGGGATTCTTGGAGCAGACAGGCCACACAGCACTTCCTGAGGGCAGTGCACGGAGTCACTGTTTCCATTCTCTTTGGTCCGATGATACCTGGGTCACAGCAGAAAAAGGCTGCTCTCAGCCTCTTGGGGGAACGCAGTGGGAGAGGCCAGAGAACCATATGGAAGAGAACCGTGTTTGGGGTGAGGGTCTCCCTGCTGGAGCCCAGAAACCCGAGACTTTACTGCTCCTTCCGGCAACAGGAGAAAGGGGAGGGGAGGAGGCCAGGGGCCTAAGGCTGTGAAGTGCCCCAAGATCAGAAGGTGGAGGGAGCGGGCAGCTCTGACTACCTCCATCTCTCCTCTCTCCAGCCTCTGTCCCTCCAGCGCCAGACCGTGCCTGGCAGCCTCTCCCCAGCGGGTGGAGAACCTCCTGTGCCCCCTCCTGCCCAGCTGGCAGGTTGGCCTCCTCCCTCCGCAAGGCGGTGACAGCAGCAATGGGCTCCATTTCTTGAGGTGTCTTTGCTGCTTTAACGAAACTCACCAAAACTCCTCACCTAAGGAGCAGCTTCCGCTGCCCACAACCTCGTGGTCTTTCCTTGCAGCCTCGGGCAGCTCCAGACCACCCGTCAGATGTCCTCTCTCCAGAGGCTCCCGAGGATGCAGAACAACCTGCCGGCTGCCAGCACAAGGCCGGGCTGTCCTTCCGGCTGCTAACTCTGCCCCCTTGGTTCCAGGCCCCAGGCTTCTGCTCACGGTGCGGCCCCGGCGACCTCTCCGGCACCTGCTGCCCACCCGTACACGGAAGCCCCAGCAGCTGCTGCGCCCAGGCCTCGGGTTGTCACCACGGCCAGCATCCGGCCTTCTGTCTACCAGCCAGGTGAGAGTGGGCGGGGCCTGGCGGGCTGGGTGTGGGCTGCGGCGGTCAACTCCCAGAAGGATGGTGGTCAGTGAGGTCCTGCTACTGAGTTCAGTTGTGGGCCCGATTCCTATGGAGCCTGCCTCTGGCACTGAAGAGACAGGTGGGCAGTGCCAGGCAGGGACGAGCCTCCCAGCTCTTAGGGAGAGGACACTCCTGCTGGGGACTTTCAGGCTCAAGGTGAGGGAAGAGGGTTTGGGGGGAGCTGTTCCTCCAGCAGTCTGGTTCTGGCTCAAGCCAGAGGATGGGCAGCTACACCAACAATGCCAGGGGCTTGGGACAGCCCCACTGCCTCGCAGTGGCCCTGGGCAAGCTGCTCAGCCCGTCTGGTCTTTGGTTTCTCTGCTGAGGCAGGGGAAGCACAGGTGAGGCAGCAGAGCGGCCAGCACCGGGCCTGACAGTGGCTGAGCCACGGACGCTCCCTGCCTTCACACTGGTCCCCATTCTTTTCACTCCCTAGGACTCCCTTGCAGGAATGAGGGCTCAGCCCATGACCCCCTCTTTCCTAGCTAAAGCTGGGCCTGCTCCCCAGAGCCCAGGGCAGCTCTCAGGCTGGCCTGTTCCTGCTCAGAAGCTCAGGGCTCTTAGCAGGTGCCGCCCCTGCTGGGGAAGGCCCCCGGTGTCCTGGTCTGCAGGATGTGCCCACAGGAGGGCTCCTGGCACCTAGGCCCTGAGTGCTGATAGCACTGCTTGGCCCCTCATCCCGCTGGACTTGGGCTGGGAACTCCAGGAGGCAGGGCTAGGGAGGGCTGTCTCCACAGCACCAGAGACTCAGCTCTGGCCCCGAGGAGCTACTCAGCAAGGAAGTGAACAGGAACGAATGAACGAATGAATGCTGGTGAGAATTGTGTGTCCCCCCACTGGCAGTGGGGAGTGGGGAATGGGGAGTGGGAGGAGAAGGGGCTGTGAGCTGCATGGTCTGGTGGCTGAACACCAGGGATAATGGATGACAAGGGTTTCCAGAGAGATAGCCTGGGCCGGATAGGATATTGGCAGGCAGACACTTTTTATTCAAAGCATTATGCTTTCTTTTTTAAAAAATTGTTGTTGTTGATTTTTAGAGTCAGGGGGAGAGCAATAGAAACACCAATAGGCTGCCTCCTGCACGACCCCTACTGGGCATGGAGCCTGGGCATGTGCTCTGACCAGAAGGGAACCAGGAACCTTTTGGTCCATGGGGCCAGGCTCAATCCACTGAGCCACACCGGCTGGGCTTAAAGCATTCTACTTTTAACATATTTATTCTTACGACCATCTTGAACTTACGGAAAAAGTATTAACAATTTTCCTCTTGCAGCAGTAATACAAACTGTCTCCCCCCGCCCCCACATTATTGCACACATCCCATTTTTACATATGGTAAAGCTGACATATGGTAGAAAGTGAGGCGGTTACTCTCTTGTTTGGGAAAGAATGAGGCAGCGAGTTCTAAGGGGCAGGGAGGGGGCTGCTGGGCGTCCGGCAGGAGGAAAGCTAGGTAGCAGTGTGGGGGACAGAGGAAGAGAGATGTCTGGGCTCGGGGTACGTCTGGTTAAGTTTTCTCACTGCGGCTGGGGAGCAGGGGAGACAGAGATATTGAGTCCAGCAGGGCCTGGCTGCCAGCCTCGCAAGAGTGCCAGCCCTGTATGTGGGCTCCCTGCCAGGGCCTGGTGCTCAGGGGGCTTCCCCAGGGCCTGGTGCTCAGGGGGCTCCCCCAGGGCCTGGTACTCAGGGGGCTCCCTGCCAGGGCCTGATGCTCAGGGGGCTCCCTGCCAGGGCCTGGTGCTCAGGGGGCTCCCCCAGGGCCTGGTGCTCAGGGGGCTCCCTGCCAGGGCCTGGTGCTCAGGGGGCTCCCCCAGGGCCTGGTGCTCAGGGGGGGCTCCCCCAGGGCCTGGTGCTCAGGGGGGGCCCCCTGCAGGGCCTGGTGCTCAGGGGGCTCCCCCAGGGCCTGGTGCTCAGGGGGCTCCCTGCAGGGCCCGCCAAGTTGCCATCCATGGAAAAATACCTCATTGCCTGGGTGAGGTCTCCTTTGAAAATGGTCCTGAGACTGGGTACTCCCTGTGTTCTGGGGTGAAGGGAGGCTCCTCGCGCAGCGCTGGGCACACTGGCGGTGCCCTCTGTGCCTTGAGAGGCAGGGGCACAGGGTTCGGAGTTAAAATCCCGTGACAAGTGTCAGGTGGCGGTGGACACGGGCACTGGGAGCGGGAGGTCCTCCCAGGCGCTAGGAAGGCAGACCGGCCGCGGTCGGGCTCTCTGGGCGGGCCTGGCAGGGCACCTTCCAGGGCAGCCCCGGCTTCGGCTCCCCTCCGGCTTCGGCCCAGACGTTAACTCACTCCTGCGGGGAGGGAGGGCTGGTCTGGGGAGAGGCGGGGACCCGGCGCTGCGACCCTCCTCCCTCCTCTGCCGGCAGGGCCTCCGCAGCTCCCGTGGGGCTCCTGGCGGGGCGCGGGGTGGCGGGGGGTGGGGCGGGTAGGGGAGGTGGGGGGGGTGGCGGGGGGCGAGGTGTGCGGCCGGGATGGCTGGGGGTGGGGGTGACGGGTAGCTGGGGTGGCGGGGTGGTCGGGGTGGTCGGGGTGGCTGGTGGTCGGGTTGTGGCGATGGGGGTGTGGCCGGGGTGGCAGGGGGTGGGGGTGACGGGTAGCTGGGGTGGCTGGGTGGTCGGGGTGGTCGGGGTGGCTGGTGGTCGGGTTGTGGCGATGGGGGTGTGGCCGGGGTGGCAGGGGGTGGGAGTGACGGGTAGCTGGGGTGGCTGGGTGGCTGGGTGGTCGGGGTGGCTGGTGGTCGGGTTGTGGCGATGGGGGTGTGGCCGGGGTGGCAGGGGGTGGGAGTGACGGGTAGCTGGGGTGGCTGGGTGGCTGGGTGGTCGGGGTGGCTGGTGGTCGGGTTGTGGCGATGGGGGTGTGGCCGGGGTGGCAGGGGGGTGGGAGGTGACGGTGGCCTCGCAGCGCCCTCTGGTGGCCGGCACCTGGCGCGGCCGCGGGCGGGCGGGAGGCGGAGCTGCGGGGAGCGCGATCCCGCCGCCGGCTGCACAGTCCCGCCTGCGAGGCGGTGGGGCCTTTCGAACTTGCCAATCGGGATGGAACGTCACCTTCTCATCGGGACGGACAGCCGCCCCGTGGGTGCCAGGTCCTCCCTCCCTGGCCCGCGGGGCGGCGCCGGGAGCGGGGAGCGGGGGAGGGGCTGCGGGCCGCCCGGGAGGGAGGGAGGGAGGTCCCAGCGCTGGGGCGAGCCCCGCCCAGGAAGCGGCCTCCGACGCCGACCCGCAGTCTGGGCTGAGAGAGCGGGTTGGCGGGGGAGTGCGGCCCGGGGGAGGGGATGGGGAGGAGGCGCGGAGGGGCAGGCAGGTGGGCGAGGGCCGTGGGCAGGGCGGCTTTGCTGTCTCGGGAGTGGGCAGCTGGGACCCATTCTGAGACGCTGCTCTGGCACTTGGGAGACATGCAGGGCTGTTAGGAGGGTGGCAGCACCTGGAGTTTGGACCTCACGTCACAGGGGCGGTCCCCCCCCCCCCCCCCCCCCCCGCGTCCCTGCCGGTGAGGCAGGCCGGTGCCATGAACCCACCATGGGGAGCACTCGGTCTAGGATCTAGGTGCTCTGACTTAGGGTGTCAGTCTCCCACTCCAGCCCCCACACCAAGTCCGTGTGGGCTGGGCTCCCTCAGGCGACCAGGCTGTGAGACAAGCTGACTGTCATGCTGAGCTGAGACCCAGGAGTCACTAATTTAGTGACACACTAACAGTGCCAGCTACTTAACCCTCATCACGACGCTGTAAGGCACTAACAATCATATTGCCATTCTTAGACAAGGACATTCAGGCCCAGAGATGTTAAGGACTTTGCCCAAGGACACACAGCCTGGACCTAGTAGGGCTGTGCTCCCGGCCAGCTCAATGCCGAGGATGGGGCCTCCTCCCTGTTGACAGTTGCTCCTCAATCACATAGTACACCAAGATTTTATGGAAATTGGACTTGGGTTCTTATTTTTTAAATTTTATCTTATTGTTGAAACTATTACGGATGTTCCTCTTTCCCCCACTCCTCCCCACTCCCACCCCCTACCCAGGCCTTCACCCCACTATTGTCTGTGTCCATGGGTTATGCATATATGCATATAAGTTCTTTGGTTAATCTCTTCCCGCCCCACCCTTCTCTCTGAGAATTCTGTCTGTTGCATGCTTCTATGTCTCTGGATCTATTTTGTTTGTCAGTTTCTTTCTTTTAAAAATATATATTTTTATTGATTTCAGAGAGGAAGGGAGGGGGATAGAGAGATAGAAACATCAGTGATGAGAATCATTGATCAGCTGCCTCCTGCACGCCCCACACTGGGGATTGAGCCTGCAACCCAGGCATGTGCCCTCACTGGGAATCGAATCATGACCTCTGGGTTCATAGGTCTACACTCAGCCACTGAGCCGCGCTGGCTGGGCATACCACAGCTTTTTATCCACTCATCTACATGGGCACTTGGGCCGTTTCCAAATCTTAGCTAGTGCATGGACTTGTGTTCTTTACAGGGGCAGCTTGGGGTGATAGAAAGAATAGTTTTGGAGACTTGCTTTTCATTTACTGGCTCTGTCTGAGCCTCGGTGACCTCAACTGTAAACAGGACTAACAAGGATGATCTGTTATGTGCCGTCTGCCTCCTCAGTGAGTGGGAAGAAGATTCCTTGTGGATGAAGCCAGCGTAGCTCCCAGGAGGCTCCAGGGCAGGGCTGTGGAGGGTTTACCCCGCAGCTTTCCATAACACAGCCCAGCCTCCCCATCCCCATGGCAGGGTTTCCATGATGCCCAGCTCCGAGGAGCCAGTCATCTGGGAGTAGGAGGGACAGAGTTGGACAGCAGACCACAGGCCACCCGCGGTGGTCCAGGGCAACCAGGTGGGAGAGTCTGAGGCCAGGTCAGGGCCTTTAGCCTTGAGAAAGGCCTTACTTTCTAGGCTGGACCCTGGTGGAGGGGAGGGAAGGGCGCAGTGCCCCTCAGCACAGTCCACAGGCCAGGCTCAGAAATGGGGAGGAGACGGCCCTGGCTGGCTTCCCAGGGCGGGAGAAGGAGGCCTCTTTCCATAAGAGCAGACTGAGTTGAGGGAAGGCATCTGGAACCTTCCTCACTGGGTGAGGGTGCTGGCTGGCTGGATGGTGCACAGGTCTGCCCAGCGGTCCACAGTGGAGGCACAGAGCGCTGAGACCTGGGTTTTGAAAGCCCAGGCCTCAGAGAGCTCTGGGCAAGTAACTGCAATGCTCCTTTGCGCTGTCACCCCAAAAAGGTTTTAGCTTTCAGTGAACTGGAGGGGGGTCCCGAGGTGCGGCCGTGCATTCTCTCACTGCCTCCCGGGTGACCTCTCCAGTCCCTGGCACCCACTCTTTCTACCAAAGATGGAGAGCACAGGTGCCCAGGCAGCCGGACCTGGGCTGCGGCTCCTCAGCATCTCCACCCCAGGCTCCCTGAGCGACTCCTTCCAGACCCTTACCCCACACCCTAATCACACCAAGATGGAGGTCCCCCAATACAATTCAAGCCAAGATGCTTTTCAGGAAAACAATTGTAGCTCGTCCTGAACCCGAACTGAAAACCCTACTGCCCTGGCTGCCATCTGCTTTGTCCCAAAGCCTGGACTAGGTCCAGATTCCGCGAACGCATGCAGCTAGGCATTTCGGACGTCAAATCACCGGCCAGAGCGCACCGGAAGCACCTTCCAGTCGAGGCCAAGATGACCCCCTGCCCTCTCCCTGGAGAGGGAGAGGATCCCCGCGCCCACCCTGGCAGCTGCAGATATTTATAGCGCCTGGGGCCCTGCTCCAAAGGCTCCCCATCTCCCTTAGTTCCGCTGCCAATTCAAACCTGGGCCCCAAGAAGCCCAGGACTGTGTCTCTGGTTAAAATGGAATTGTCCTGCTCCGATATTAAAGCCCCTTTCCTGGAGGGAGTGGGACAGGACGTGGGGGAAATGAATCCCTGACACACTTTCTTTGGATCTTTTTGGCTTGCAGTGCCTGCAAATACCTACAGCCCATCTCCGGGGGCCAATTACAGCCCAACTCCCTACACCCCCTCGCCTGCCCCCGCCTACACCCCCTCGCCTGCCCCCACCTACACCCCCTCCCCTGCCCCTGCCAATACCCCCTCGCCTGCCCCCACCTACTCCCCCTCCCCAGCACCAGCCTACACCCCCTCGCCTGCCCCGAGCTATGAGCCTGCACCCTCAGTGGCCCACAGCAGGGGTCCTGCTGAACCTTCCAGCCGCCCCCCTTGGGCCACAGACGACAGCTTCTCTCAGAAGTTTGCTCCTGGCAAGAGCACCACTTCTATCAGCAAGCAGCCCCTGCCTGGAGGGACCTCTGCCTACACCCCAGGTTCCCAGGTGTCCCCCCTCGCCAGGGGCACCTTCCAGAGGGCTGAGCGCTTCCCAGCCAGCAGCCGGACTCCGCTCTGTGGCCACTGCAACAACGTCATCAGGTATGACCGGCTGTGGCCCTGCGCTGGGGTGCTGGGGGTGCGGCAGGCGCCGCTGAGCCCTGTGGTGGGCGGGGGAACGGGAGGGCAGGTATAGGGAGACTCCAGGCCCGCGGGGCAGCCTCAGGTCCCTCGGGGTCAGCGTCAGGTCTGACCTTCTCTGAGCTGTGGCTTCCATCCCTGGTGACACCCGCTTCCCTGAGGAGCTGGAGGGTGCAGTGAGGTAAGTGGGTGAAGCCCCCAGCGGTGCCTGTGCGGGGACCACCCCCTTGGGCTCAGGCCAGTCCTTGCAGCAGCAGTTGTGGGTGGGGAGGTTGGGGCCTGCTGGCTGCACGCTTGCTGGCAGTGCAGGCTGGGAGCCAGCTCTCCTTTAGGGGAGCTTTGGGGCCGTCCACGGACAGGCCTGTGTGCTCAGGGCATCGGGGCACCTGCCACTCTAAGAGACAAGTCATTTCAAGCCTAGAAGCCGGGTGATGGGTGGTGCTGGTTTGAATATAGTATGTCTACAGTATTGGTGTGTGTTTGGCAGGCGCTGAGGGTGGCATATTTACGTATATATGAAAAATACACTTTTATTTAAAAGTAAGGTAACACATCCTCAGAGGAGAATTAGAAAAATCAGAATGAAAATATAAAACATTTCCTCAGCGTCCCACTCTTCTAACTACTAAAGTGGAGCTAGACTCCCAGGTTTGTGTGCTGGGCCCACCCGACCAGCCACTGGCCTGGAGCAACGGCACCTCTCCACGCCCCGGGGCCCTTACCCAAAGCAGGCCTGATAGCAGAGCCGACTTGACTTCGTAGGATTGCTGGGGGATGGAGTTAACAAATACAGGTTCCTCTCGACTGGTGCCTGACTGGTGCCTGGCAGAGAGGAAGGCCTTGGTAAGTGTATGGCGTCAGCACCTCGTTGCTCTTGCCAGCGGAATGGCTGTCCCCGTGTGAGCCGCCCCTGCTGCAGGTGTGGGAGTGGCTTCCAGGTCCCTGGGGAAGGGGTGCAACAGGAACACCCTTCAAGGAGCTTCGTGTGAATTTTCCATGACTTCATTAGAACAGTCACAAGTCGGGGTTGTTGGGGGGACTCAAAGGATCTGGCCTCAAGCTTTTGGGGCTTCCTTAGTAGGTGCTGTTCTCTGCTTCCCAGGGGCCCCTTCCTGGTAGCCATGGGCCGCTCCTGGCACCCAGAGGAGTTCAACTGCGCTTACTGCAAGTCCTCCCTGGCCGACGTGTGCTTCCTGGAGGAGCAGGGCGCCGTGTACTGCGAGCGGTGTTACGAGCAGTTCTTTGCCCCGATCTGTGCCAAGTGCAACACCAAGATCATGGGGGTAAGTGGGCAGAGCCTTCCCTTTGGCCTTGTCTTTTCCCCAAGCGACCTCTTCCCTCCTCCGAGAAAGCCGAGAAGTGGCTGCTCACAGCGAGGGCAGCTCCACTCTGGTTCTGGAAGGAAGTTGGTTTGCCACCAACGAACTAGGGAGCCAGTGAACCTGAGGCGAGAGATGAGCACCTCCCTGGGCCACAGCTCCCAGTGGCAGTGGAGCTTCTGCAAAGCAAGTTATGTCTTCACCCCCGACCTTCCCTGCACCCACACGTGGCCGTGACCCTGGGCCCCCCTTTGGGAAAAGGGCTGCCACAAGCAGCACCTCCTCCAGTGAAGCCTCACAGTGACGTGAGCACGGGCAGCCCGGCCCAGCCAGCACTGCGGGAGAGGAGCCCGCTGCAGGCCTTTCCGTGGGCGGGGCCTGCTGTTTTGGGGGTGGGGGGGCGCTCCCCACCGGCTCCTGGCCTGAAGGAGCTTCTTCCCGCAGGAGGTGATGCACGCCCTGAGGCAGACGTGGCACACCAGCTGCTTCATCTGCGCAGCCTGCAAGAAGCCCTTCGGGAACAGCCTCTTCCACATGGAAGACGGGGAGCCCTACTGTGAGAAAGGTAGGCTGCTGTGCTGGGACCCCCCCACCCCCCTCCCCCCCATCCCCCCATCCCGGAGAAAGGGGCAGCACAGGGACCGCCTGCAGAGGTCCAGTGGATGGAACCACCCGGAGGCTCCAAGTGGCAGCTTCTGCCACTACTACACAAAGGCCGTTTACTGCACTGTTTCCCCTGCCCCCTGGGCTGCAGCTTTCCTTGGGTGGGGGTGAGGGGTGGGGGCTGCGGGGCAAGGTAGGGGCTTGTTTTATACACATTCAACCTCTGCCCCCTTCCCTGCACCAATTACGTGGATCACAAGTTGGCATCTTGTAGCAGCGTGGGAAACCCTTCAGATGATTTTGAGTTGGAGACGAAAAAGTCTAGTCTGAAAAGGCTTTGGCTCTGGACTTTATGCTGGGTTCTGTTCCAAGCTCCACCTCAGGCTGACTGTCCAACCCTGAGTGAGTTACTGAACTCCTCAGAGCCTCACTTTTCCCATCTGTAAAATGGGGGAACTAAGTACCTGCCTCGCGTCATTGCGTGAGGATTAAACAGAGAACCTGTGTAAAGCAAATCCGTGGTAGTCCGTCTCCCTGCTCCTAGTGTTCCTCCCGCCTGAACGCAGAGTTTCTCTGCTTCCCAAAGGCCAGGATGTTATCTTGGAACTTGGAGTACCGTATCATCAATTCTGAAGACAAAGCACTGCATCAGAGAGGAGGGGGTCGGGCTAACTGGCCATTCACTCACTCACTCACTCGCTCACTCACTCACTCGCTCACTCATTTATTCACAGCCTGCCTCTTTCAGAAAAGGGTTTGAGGCAGATTCCAACAAAGGCAACATAGACATGAATAAGACACTAGGAATAGAAAGTCAGTTCTAAGTAGAAGAGGGAAGAGAAGCGGGCTGGTTACGAAGAGGAACGGAGCCGCAGTGGCTGGGGGCACATTCGAGGGAAAAGGAGAAACACAGTAAGTCATTTACGTTATTTTTAAAAAATATATTTTTATTGATTTCAGAGAGGAAAGGAGAGGGAGAGAGAGAGAGAAACATCAATGATGAGAGAGAGTCACGGATCGCCTGCCTCCTGCACGCCCGCCCCCGCCCCCGCCCCCGCCCCCGCCCCGCCCTGGGGATCGAACCCGCAGCACGGGCATGTGCCCCGACCTCCTGGCTCGGAGGCCCACACGCAACCACTGAGCCGCGGCAAGTTAGTTTACTTTAAGTGAGAAAGGGAAACGGTCCAGCCCCTCACGGGGAAAAGCAAAACAAAATGAAACTTGCCCCTCTGTCAATAAATTATAAAATAATTTCTTGGGTTCATACATACTGGTAAATTCTCTTTCCAGCTCTGAAGTTAATTGAATGACTTAGTTACTTAATAAGTAATACTCTGTGTCTCATTTTCCATATCTGTGAAAGGGCGAAGATAACATGCGTTTTTCCTCCTTATGAACATATGGTGATTCCTGGTAATTAAGTATTATTGTTCCAAATGTGTGTTGCTCTTCTTAGTCACCTAAGAGCATTGCAACTTTAATAATTTGTGATGAATCACACTTTGTGTCTCAGGTTTTCGAAAAGAATGATGGATTTCCACCCTCGCCCCTGCCCCTCTCCATGACGAGGGGCCCTGGGCTGCTTTCCCTTTTGACTCTCGGAGCACAGGTGTGCACATGGCCCCTCAGGATCCTGCTCTCAGTTCTGTTGGGTCTGCGCCCAGAGGACTTGCTGGGTCATGTGATGGTCCTGTTTTTTCACTTTTTGAGGAACCTTCATGCTGTTTCCCATAGTAGTTGCTCCATTTTACTAGTATATCCCACCAACAGCACACAGGGTTACAATTTCTCTACATTTTTGCCCACAGTTATTTTCTGATTTTTAAAATATTTTGCCGGCAACCATCCTGATGAGTGTGATGTGATGTCTCATTGTGGCACTTTGTCATAGTTTTTATTAACAACTTGGAAGAAGGTACAGAGCGATAGGACTCGGACGCAGACAGATTTCAGTTGGCTGAAACAATGAGCTGACACTCTGTGCAACAGCTTGCACGTAAGTGAGACGGGTGTGAGGTCAGGCCCTCCCGGGCTGGCCTGCACCTGAGCACTGCCCAGGCCTGGCAGGGCTTAGTCACCTGGGGACTTTTAAAGAGATAGAGAAAATAAATTCCCAAACCTCCAGAAGCCGAACTCGTGGGGTGCCCTCCCGACCAGGTGATTTTAAATGCAGTTAGGTCTGGGGATCCAAGTGCAGTCCCACCAGCAACTTGAACATCACCGGAACCTTTTAGAAACGCGGGCTCCAGCCCCACCTCAACACTGTGGAAGCAGAAGCTCTGAGGGGTGGGGCCAGCAATGTGTGCGGGTCGCTTGCCTCCTGGGTTAAGTCATTCCTAGTATCTTAACTGTGTTGCTGCAGTGGTAAATGGGATTGATTTTAGTTTCTGTGAGTTCACTATTGGTGTATAAAAATGCCATTGATTTCTGGGTGTTAATTTTTTATCCTGCTATATTGCCAAATTGATTTATTAAATCTAATAGTTTTTTTGGTGGTCCTTAGGGTTTTCTGTGTACAATATCATGTTATCTGCAAATAATGAGTTTTACATCCTCCTTTCCAATTTGGATGCCTTTTATTTCTTTTTCTTGTCTGATTGTTGTGGCTAGGACTTCCAGTGCTATCTATACTAATAAAAGGGTAATATGCTAATTAGACCAGATCAACCAGACACCTTCCCAAAGTCTGACTTCCTTCTGGACAAAGCCACGGTGGCAGGGGCCAAGGCAGGGGCTGTTAGGGGCAATCAGGCCGGCAAGGGAGCAAGCAGTTAGGGGCAAGATTAGGCTGGTGCTGGGGAGCAAGCAGTTAGGCGGCAATCAGGCCGGCATGGGAGTGGTTAGGGGAGGATCAGGACAGCAGGGGAATGGTTAGGAGCCAGAAGTCCAGGATTATGTGGGGGATGTCCCCAGAGGGGTCCCAGATTGGAGAGGGTAAAGGCCGGGCTGAGGGATACACCCCCCCCCCATGCACGAATTTCATGCACTGGGCCTCTAGTGTTGAATAAGAGTGGTGAAAGCAGACATCCTGTTCTTAGGGGAAATGCTTTTAGTTTTTTCCCATTGAGTATGATGTTGGTTGTAGGTTTGTCATATATGATCTTTATTATGTTGAGGTATGCTCCCTCTATTCCAAGTTTGCTGAGAGCTTTTATCAAAAATGGGTGTTGGATTTTGTCAAATGCTTTTTCTGTGTCTATTGATATAATCATGTGATTTTTCTCTTTCAGTTTGTGTATGTGATGTATCACGTTTTTTGATTTGCAAATATTGTACCAGCCTTGCATCCCTGGAATAAATCCCACTTGGTCATGGTGTATGATCTTTTTAATATATTGCTGGAAGCAATTTGTTATTATTTTGTTGAGGATTTTAGCATCTATGTTCATTAGGAATATTGGCCTGTAATTCTCTTTCTTTGTAGTGTCTTTGCCTGGTTTTGGAATTAGGACAAAGAGATCTTGGAAATGTTCCTTCCTCTTGAATTTTTTGTAATGGTTTGAGGAGTATTGGTGTTAGTTCTCCTTTAAATGTTTGGTAAAACTCCCCTGTGAAGCCATCCGGACCTGGGCTTTTGTTTGCTGGGAGTTTTTTGATTACTGCTTTAATTTCATCAATAGTTATCAGCCTACTCAAGTTTTCTGATTCTTCCTGATTCAGTTTTACAAAATTGTATTTTCTAGGAGTTTGTCCATTTCAACCAGGTTGTCCAGCTTGTCAGCATATAGTTGTTCATAGTATTTTCTTATAGTCCTTGGCAGTCTGTGCTTTAATGAACCTCCAGATGATTCTGACGTGTGAGAACCATTGTCTGATAAAGCACTGAACCATTTTTCAACTCAGAGCATGTGATTTGATGGATGGAAATCCTTTTACAAGAGCAATAAACCCATTAAATACAGGGTATGAATTCAGTTTGGGGCAAATGACAGTCAAAGAACATTGTAACAACCTAATAAATGAGGAACTAGATTATGCTTCTGGGGGGAGGCCCATGTACAAGCTAATTCATTATGGATTATGTTCTCCTTTTGTAGTATAAATGAGGAAAATATCAGCTTTTTAAAAAATGTATTAGGGTCAGATCTGTGCTATAATGTTTTAAAAAATATTTTTTTATTGATTTTTTTTTTTTTTTTTTTTTTTTTTTTAGAGAGAGAGGAAAGGAGAGGGGAGAGATAGAAACATTGATGAGAGTGAAACATCATCAATCAGCTGTCTCCTACACACCCCTCAGAAGGGATTGAGCCCACAACCTGGGCCTGTGCCCTGACCTGGAATCGAACTGGTGGCCTCTTGGTTCCTGGGTCGATGCTCAACCACTGAGCTACACCGGCTAGGCAAGTGCTACCAAATTTTAAAGCAAATTAGCAGTTCTCAAGGTCATATAGAATTAAGTTAAAAACAGAAAAATCAATCCATAGTATCCAGGGGTGGGCAAACTTTTTGACTCGAGGGCCACAATGGGTTCTTAAACTGGACCGGAGGCCGGAACAAAAGCATGGATGGAGTGTTTGTGTGAACTAATATAAATTCAAAGTAAACATCATTACATAAAAGGGTACGGTCTTTTTTTTTTTTTTTTTAGTTTTATTCATTTCAAACGGGCCGGATTCGGCCCGCGGGCCGTAGTTTGCCCACGGCTGGTATAGACTAAACACCCCCAAAATAAAATCAAGCCATTTTAAGAGATTAATCTATGAAAAATCATTGGTTTCACAAGAGAAGGAATTACTATTTAATATGGTTTTTTTGAACCATTTATCCATCAAATGTGTGCCAGTTCCTGTGCAAAATGCTGAGCATGGGGTGGGGGAGTTCTGCGCTCAAACACCTCAAGAAGACATCACCTATGAGATGCCAACACATCAGTGGACAGTTAAGAGATGAATGAATGAATGAATGAATGAATGAATGAATGAATGAGTGAGTGAATAGGAAGGGAAGTCCAGGAGAAGCCTCCAGAAGGCCATCTCATATTTCTTGGTGGGTTTGGGGATGACGACTCCCCAGAAGGAAGGCATGGCCCAAAGAATGTCAGGGGTCCAGGCAGACAAAGTGAGGCGGGTGTTCCAAGCCTGGTCCTGGTCCATGCAGAGGCGTGGAGGTGGAGGACAGAGCCCAGGGCATCTGGAGACCAACAGGGAGTAAGTTAGGAGTGGGTGCAGGGTTTGGAGATGGTGGCCTATAGCCCTGTTTCTCATCCCACATTGATAATTTCCTACAGTGCAGAGAGTGAACCATAACCTGCTGTGTTCCTGAAGGAAGCAGAATAATGTTTTCCTAGTTCTGGTGTGGTGATAGATTTCTGTCTACTGAACAAATTAAATGTTTGGTCAGAAACAAGGTTGACAGACTGCAATATATGTAAAAGCATTTGCATGTCAAACTAAATTAAACCCCAAAAGGGAAACTGTACATTGGAAAATATGCAAGAGATGGAACTTGCCAAAGCTCAGTGGCAGATAGTCGCTGGAGGCAGCCGGCAGTCATGGGACGGGGTCAGTCCACCGCGCTCCTCCACTGTGTGACGGAACCTCTGCAGCCAAACTCCTGGTCTTTAACATGGGAATCATGCTTGTTCTCAGAGCTGCTGTGAAGATCAAACAAGACACGCAGAGAAGCACTAACAGCAGACTAATAGCGGGACCAGTTCCCTCCCCTCCTCTCATCACTCACAAAGACACTCAAAATTAGAGCCAACATTTTGAGGCTTTGTGCCAAGTCCTTCACATACATGATCTTACTTATTCTTATAACAACGCCACAAGTTAGGTGCTGTAGTTATTCCCACTATATAGATGAGAAAGTAGAGGCACTGAGAGGTCAGGCAACTTACCTCAGGTTTGAACAATTCCTTAATAAAGCTGGGATTTGAACCCGGCTCACTCTTTCTTCAGAACTCAAAGTCATAACCCCCATGGCTACTGTCCCCAGGCTACTGTCCAGAAAGCTGCCGAAAGGAAAAGCCACGGGGCAGCGCTGTGGAGACAGCTCTGGGGAAACGAAGGCTTCGTAGCAGTCGTCAGGGTTTTCTAGAGAACCTGGGAGAGTGCCCCAGTGCGCAGTGGGTCTGCTGCCCCGGTCCCAGAGCCTGGCTCCTGTGGCCGAGGTGCACAGGGCCTGGCCCTGGGGTCTCAGCCGTGGACTCTGGCGAGGCCCTTCCCTCTTTGATCCCGTTTGCTCAGCCACAAAGTCAAACCAAACCAAACAGAAAAACAATGATAGTTCAGTCTTTGAGGGATTTCACAAAGGTTAACTTCATTCATTGATTTATTGATTCATTGATTCATCCATTCACTCATTCATTCAACACATATGTGTACCAGGCACTGAGCTGGGAGTACAAAGACTTTGACACTGAGATATCAGTAAATAGTGTCATCTACTGAGAATGCTTGGTAAACTATAAAGCATTATACAAATAATATTTGTTATTATCTTCTTGGCGGAGGCGGGGGGCAGAGGAGCGGGGAGGGGTCTGGTGGGGAAAAGGGTACATGCCCCAACAAAGTAGCTCAATTATTGTTTCCAGTAGTGAAAATTTGCTATTAAAACAAATGCCCAATAACAGAAGAATGACCAAGCAAAGAACAGTCTATAGCTATTAAAAATGTTAAGGGCTCTCATTCTTCCGAAATAAGCAAAGTTGCTGGGAAATTTTTTCCTTTTTCTGTGACTGTCTGCCTGGCTCTAAGGGGACAGAGATGGAGGAGAAGCTCAGCTGCAGAAAGTGAATGAGAGTTTGAGAAAGTGCTCGCAAGTCAAATAGGCCTAGGGTGCTAACTAAGCCTCAGCCTGCACGATTCCAGTTCTTAATAGAAAAGGAAAAAACAAATCTTGTAACTGAGTGTTTCGTCTGCAAGATGACAAGTAACCCGTTGGGTTTCCCCCACTGCCCTGGCCCTGGCCGGGGGTTGGCCGGCACTGGCCGGGACACTCCTCCTCGCGGCTGGCTGCTGGTCCTCACTCTGCCTTTCGTTTCAGACTACATCACTCTGTTCAGCACCAAGTGCCACGGCTGCGATTTCCCTGTGGAGGCTGGTGACAAGTTCATCGAAGCCCTGGGTCATACCTGGCACGACACCTGCTTCATTTGTGCAGTATGTTTTTAGCATGGGGTTCTGGCTTTCTGAGAAGGGGCAGGAGGGACCTAGAGGGCCAGACCCACACTCTACATCCTTCCAACTCTGGCCTTCTAATATTCTGATTGTTTATAAAAGCTGGCAAATACCATGATGCCTTGATATTTCACAGTTGAACAAAGTTTTATTACTAGTAATTTTTATTAACCAGGATGGCTTTGTTACTCTCCATTTCATTAGGGACAACAGAGAGCCCAGGACCTGCCTCACCAGCGTTGCTCTTAGTAGGTGAGAGCAGTGACTTACGCTGAGATTTAAAGGAGGCAGATGCTTCCTATAGTTGTAAGTTGTTTCAGATATGATGAAGTGATTCAAGAGTTTCCCCCCCCCCTAAATTTTCATTAGGATCGATAGATTGGAGCTTATTGACTAATCCTATAAAAAGTTGAGATAAAGTTTCTTTTGATACAACCTTTAGAAAGTAGGATTGAATATAATTTCATTTTCCTAAATGGTCTTCTTCTTGATGTGTAGTTGCCAGGAGATAAGCCCTACATTAACTATTAACCATGTGTGATGTATTTCTGCTAGACAGCCCGATCATTTTGATCAGGGAGATTGGCATTTTCTTCCCGCGGGCTTTGGGTTGGGGAGGGGACTCGGCAATGAGCCTGCTGACATTTACATCCTGACATTTAAAGTAGGGGAATAGCCAACTTAATTTGGGAAAGTTAATGTGCTACTACTATTTTTTTCTTTTTACCAGAGCCGATCAAGGTAAATTTCGGGGATGTGTGAAAGATCTGTGTAGTTTAAACTTGAAGCGTTTTTATAAACTTATGACATAGGACAACCTAAGTCATAAAGTTTACTGCTATACATCAGGTTTTACAATTCATTTCTACACTGCCCCCTCAAAGTAGTGGGGTGCACTGTATCCCCTCTGTGTAGCAGTCTGGTAGGCCTGCCATAACAAAGTACCATAAACTAATGCCTCAACCAACAGAAACGTATTCGCTCACAGTGCTGGGAGCTAGAAGTCCAAATTCAAGGTGTCAGCAGGGCTGTGCTCTCTCCCCTGGGTTCTGCCTGCAGTCCTCGCTGTTTCTTGGCCTCTAACTGCGTAACTCTAGTCTTCGACTCCATCGTCACATGACTGTTTGCCCTCCGTGTGCCTGTCTTCACATGGCTTTCTCCTCTGTGTGTGTGGCTCCTCTGAAAAGGACACTGGCCGCATTGGAGTGAGGGCCCACCTCACTCCAGTGTGCCCCCTTCTTAACTTCCATCTTCATCACATCTGCAAAGACCGTTTCCACCAAGATCCCTGCTGGGTCCCTACGCCGGGTGAGCTGGGGGTTGAGACTTCAACAAATGAAATGGGGGGTGCGGGGTGGGGGAGACACTGATTTTCCAGATCTTTGAACACATTCTCTAGTTGCCTTTTATAGTCTTTTAAATACATCAGGGCCTGCACTCCAAAGAGAAGAGGGACAATGATATAAATATGCTGACTTTGGGGTTGTCCCCAGTTCAGCAAGGCACAGAATATGGCTCTCTGACCCTTACACTCCAGCTGTGGCTTGTCTGATCCTAAGATGCTGCCTACATGTCTGATTACCCAACTTCTGCAAGAACCCAGGAGACTTGGAGAAGGTCCAGAGAGACAGTGGCACAGAGGCCTCTCCTAGGCAGGCTGAGGAGAGGTCTGCGTTGCATGGAGAGGGAGCTGTGGCAAACGTGAGCGGGGTCTGCTCCCTTGAGCTCGCTGTGTTTGGCTGAGAGGCATGATCACAAGCACAAGTCCCAGAGGGAGAACCAAAGAAGCAGCAAAGCTTAGGGCTGTTCAGACTGAGATTACAGCTAAGCTCTGGTCAAGTGTGAGAGATCCATAGCTCTGCCCAAAGGATCCGCCCAAAGGAACCAGGCAGATCCCATCCTGTGGAGAATCACCATGTCCTCCCCGCAACAAGCCCTGTGTGGCACTCCCTGTCCTGTTAGGGTTTATCAAAATGGAACATGGCTTGAATTTTTGGAAAACAATCGTTCAATTGGAAAACTTTGAGGGTTTTCTTGGTTCTCTTTCCAAATCACTTTTAATGAGCATATATTTTTCTTTTAACTTAAAAAAAAAAACAAAAAAACTGTAAGAAAGGAAGACCAGGACTAGCTCCCCCAGTTGACGGTGTTTCCTGCAGTCATATCTCAGGAGAGCACATCCTTCAGACTAATTCCAATGACCAAGTCTGGGAGCGCAAGAGCATTCCAGAAGTTCCCCCTCAGGGAATTTAGAATCTTGAAGGAAAGCAAAGCAGCACATACCAGCAATTCACAGCAGCACAGACAGCATTGCTGAAATCCCACGCACATAGAACGAAGGCTCAGAAAAGGCAGTGTGGGTCAAGGGAAGGGCTCAGCTCCTGTCTGCCTTTGGCACTTGAGTTCCAGGGAAAGAATTTGGGTCCTACCTTCCTGGGGGAAGGATGTCTTCCTGGCCCCTCGTTTCCTCCAAGTTTAGTGGGTTTCTGGCCCTTCCTCACCAGCGTGGGTAACAGGAGGGGACGCTGGTGGCATAACTTCTGTGGGCAGTGCTGAGGCTGCTGCACCCGGCCTATTTCATCGCCTTCCACTCTGTAGCCAGCACTGTTCATGGCCACCACTCCTTCCCAGCCAGGCCCGATGCTCCTAGACCCCGGACCTGGGGAGGCGGCCATCCCGGCTGTGCCGGTGCTGAGTAGGCTGGAGACCCCCTCCACCACGAAGCCACCATGCATCCTGCCTGCAGCCTCCTGGCCCAAGACACTGAGCACAACCTTGTTATGACAAATCCTGTTCTCAGTCTCATCTCATAAGGGAGCCTCCTCTGAGGTTCTAGCCCTGCCTCATCTTTGGTCTTCAGTCCCCCCAACTCCTTGTCCAGCCTGACTCATCCCAGAGTTCTCACCAGCGGCCAGCACTGTCGCAGACCAGGCAGGGTTGGCAGGCATCTCCTGGCCAACTCACTCCAGAGAGGTCTTTCTGTCTCCATGAAACCTATCTCCAGTTGGATCTTGAGTGCCACCTTCTTGGACTTGGCTCCAAACTGTCATCAGCAGCTTGAGGCCACCACAGGAGCCTGGTTACGCTCAATATGACTGTATCTGCCTGGGAAGTTTTCAGACACTTTCAGGTCATGTCTTCCAGAGCCCCCTGGCAAGTCTGTGGGACCCTACGGGTGACATCAGGGCTTTGCACACGGGCCCTCATGATGCCGCTTTTCTTGCCAACTCTCTTGGCGTGGACACACGCTCACTGACCCCGTGGGGTGATTGCCCCATCCTCATGCCTCCCCATATGTGGGAACTCCACCTGCATTTCTTTACCCAATGTTAGTGTCCTGGTTGTGGCCCCAGTTCTACTCCCCGTTAGGGACCCTCAGCGCCCTCTCTGAGGCTGGGCCAATCCCAGCCAATGTGGCTTCCCATCTGACTCTGACTCATTGGCATTATCGCTCACCCAGGGCCAGCCTACACATTGGTAGTCTAAAAGCTGGGAGGGCTGGAAGCATTTTTCCAAGCCTGTTGAGATCTTGCTTCCAGTTGTATCTTCTGTTTGGCTCAAATACATTTTTATAAAGCTTCTCTCAGGTTTGGACATTCTTACATCTATAACACGAGGCGGGCGCTTTGCCAAACAATGTGCATAAATCTCTCAATCATCCGGCCTTCATGGTATAACGCACACAGAACCCGACTCGGTGCCATCCCTTCCCTTCCTCTAAGAGTTCTTCTCTCAGGTACACCTGCCACACGGAGGCAGGGTCCCATAGGGCAGTGCGGACTTTTTTTGTCTGTTTTGTTTTTGTTTTTTGTTAATCCTCGCCCGAGGATATTTTCCCATTGATTTTTCGGGAGAGTGGAAGAGAGAGGGAAAGACAGAAACACCGATGTGAGAGAAACACATGGATTGGTTGCCTCCTGCATGAGCCCTGATCAGGGCCCAGGCCAGGGAGCCTGCAACCAAGGTACATGCCCTTGACCGGAATCGAACCCGGGACCTTTTGGTCCACAGGCTGACGCTCTATCCACTGAGCCACACTGGCCAGGGCAGCGGTGCAGACTCTTACTTTCTTTCACTCTGGCTAGAGGTATGTAAGCTTAGAGGTGACAAGCTACTGAGGGCTTTGTTTGGTTTTTTATTTTACTAAAGTGAGAGTTCTCTAGTGGTGTTTGTGGAGCTTTTCTTATTTCATTGCGAGTGAGGATAATTTTCTGGCGTGTTTGCTAGTTTACTAACGGTATTTTTTTAGATGTTAACCATCTCTGTGGATATTGACTAGTATTGGTTCCTTGTTAATTTTTGGATAGTGCCAACGGGTCTTCAGCATGCATATTTCTCTACTCCATTAATTTAATTTAATTTGAGTTTTACTCCATGTTCCTCTCAGGAAGTCTTCAGTTCATACAGTTTAACCCAGCGAGTCTGCTTCCGCAGTTAAGGCTTGGAGGTGGGAGAAAGGGCTGCTGCCCCCTCTGCCCGGGACAGCGCTTTCCCTAAAGGGGTGACAAACCTTTGGCGGGTGCTCCCCCTCGGGCCTGCACGCGGCCTGTGTCACCCGGTCTGTTTTCTGTCCCAGGTCTGCCATGTGAATCTGGAGGGGCAGCCGTTCTACTCCAAGAAGGACAAACCCCTGTGCAAGAAGCACGCGCACGCCATCAACGTGTAGGGAGCCCGGGCGGGGCAGGCGGGCCGCTGCCGCTGCCGCTGCCGGAGGAACGGAGACCCTGACGGATGGAGAGGGAAGCACCGAGCGCTCCTGAGTGTAACTTAGTCCTTCTCTGCACAGACTGTGCATTTGCCTAGTTCAGACTAGAAGCCAAATGGAGGTTCCTAAGCCAAAGTAGTAATTAACCCCAGACTGGAATTGCACCTCGGACGTTTAGGACCGCATCCTGGGAACTCAAAAGTGAAAAACAAAAAGTAACTTTAACTTTCCCCAGCGATGCACGTCCCGGGCCACCAGCGCCAGGCGAGCGGGCGGAGGAGGCTCCAAGGCCGGGCTCCGGGCTCCGGGCTCCGGGCTCCGGGTAGGCAGCGCCACGTGCCGACGGGGCGGGTGTCCTCACGGGGCGGGGGTCCGCCGAGCCCAGGGGGCGCGGGGAGGCCTCCCTGCGGGGAGGAGGTGGCGTCCTGGCTGGTGCGGCTCGGACCTCAGGCCTCAGACCTGGAAGGAGCGCGGTCAGGGAGCCCCGCCTCGCAGGGCCAGGTCCTCCCCTCCCCGCTCCCCCAATCCCCCTCCCCCCCTCGCCCCCACCCTCCCAGCCAGAGGCGGTTCTGCAGCTCCGCTCTCAGTCGGAGGCCGCGATGTCCCAGACGCTTAGCTCCTTTACAAGTCGCGACGGGAAAGTGACTGCGGGTTTTCCCGGCTTCGCTTTACCGCGCGGGAGAGACTGAAAGCCTCCCCGTTCGGTCTGGCCTTGTGTGTGTGCGGCTGGGGCCCGCCCCCCCGCCCTGCAGCCCCCCCGCCCTGCAGCCCCCCCGCCCTGCAGCCCCCTGCAACCCCTAAGCCCCGCCCCTGCAGCCCGGCCCCCGAAGCCCCGCCCCCTGCAGCCCCGAAGCCCCGCCCCTGCAGCCCCGCCCCCGGCGGCCCCGAAGCCCCGCCCCCGGCGGCCCCGAAGCCCGGCGGCCCGGCCAGCGGGAAGGAGGGAGGCGGCGATGGAACTGGGTGGCGGATGGGCGGGGGGCTGCCCACACTCGGGGCAGCGGGAGGCCCCCTCTGCCAGCGTCAGTCGGAAGGCAGGCCTCCCACCAGCACCGGCCCGCGCGCTGGTGCTGGAAGGAAGAGGGACTGACACTCATCATGGCCACTGGGGCTCAGGTTTTGAAAATGTTTGAGCTGGGTTGATCAAGCAATTGTTTATAAATATTTATTAAAATAGACTTGGGCCTTTAAACTTCTTTAAAATAGCAGTAATAGCTAGCGTTGAGCAGGCATCTGGGAGCTTGTGCTGAGTTGGAACCGGTACCTGGTCTCCCCTCTGGGCAGCGACCCGCGCGGTTGGAGTGGAGGCTTCTCTTGTGTGCAGCTAGGTGTGTCCCTCGCAGGAAGCCCATGTCTCATTCCCAGGGTAACCCCCAGCCCCCAGGGAGCACCAGGAGGGGCATGAGTGAGCTCCCTCCAGGCCCTGTTCAGCGAGGGGCTGCGAGAGAGCCAGGCGCAGGAGAGCCTGCAGGTTCTGCAGGAGCTGCAAAGTGCCTTGGACATTCTGTTATTTTTGGAAAGTTCAAAGGCACAGGGACAAGGAGGTTGCAGACTGTACAGAAAGGCTCTAGGCAGCTTTCTCTAAAACAAAACAAAGCAAAATAAAACAAAACAATTAAATTATCAGGGACTGGTCATGAGGAAAGGAAAAAGTTCCCTAGAATTGTTCTCAAAAATATCTTTTAAAATGGTGCACACACACACACACCGCACGGGTGATGATCAAAAAGTGTGTGATCACTGAAAAGTGAAATATCTCAAAGGAGAACGTCATAGTCCTGTATTGGGTCGGTGTTTCTACAGCTCAGAGCTAGTGGAGATTCTGAGGAACTCTTTTATTTATCAGAGCCCAAAACAAAATGTTTTTTAGGGCAGCAGGGAAAGGAGTAGCTTTGAACAGGGTTTCTTCGTGTTTGTAAGTTTGCATCGCCTCAGTGTGAAGGCCGTATCTATTTCAGGTTAACTTCATGGATGGCCTACAACACCAAACACAATTTTTAATAGTTCATGGTGTAGAGTACACTTTGGATCTGCAGTTTCTGTCCCCGTATTGTTCACATTTATTTAACATTTATAAACATTGACTCTTTGCAACAGAGTGACTTGGGCTTGCAGTGTTGGGGTTAGGAACCTAGCTTTTCTAATGTTAACTTTTCAACACAGATACTTTTGCTTTGGGATTTCTTTTTTAATTTTAAGATTTCAGAAGTGGAATGTAGTGTGTTAGAAGTGTGCACAAAACTATTTGGCATGGTTTTTGTTTTGATTTTTCTTGCCATGTGAATTCTACTTTTTAGCAAAATAAAACTCCCAAAAGACCGCAAAAACAGTTTTCTGTGTAAAGTGTTTCATGAGACACTGAAAGCAGGGTTTTCTATATGGCCACCAAAGAAGCTGGACGATGCGAAAGGCCAGGCCGCTGTGCTGGCCCGTGGCCCGAGGCCCGAGGCGCCTCCCAGTGAGGAGCACACACGCTCGCAAAGCGGTTTCCAGGTAAATGAAGCCCAGCCTGGCCTTTCTTTTGGAAAGGTTTATTTATCTAGCTACTTGGTGGTTAAATATTTCATATTTATTTTTATTCTGCTCTACATGGCTTCATATCTTAAAAAGTTGCTATATTTTCTTCCATATCTTTAGTTTTGAAATAAGCTCAGAGAAAAATCCTCTCATGACATTAAGAACAAAAAGACCTTTCTGAGGGTCCTGTGCTTAACAAAACCAAATCTTTTCCAAGGTACTCTGTTTCTAGGCATTACTTGAAAAGAAAGGACATTTTTTGTAATTTACTTTTGAGTATCTAAATCATATTTTGAAAGAGCTATGCAATTACAAGTAGAAAGAAAATCTCTTTATTTTAGTACTTTTTAAAGCTATAGCAGTTCTTAAAATCTGTGAGGGAGGCATTGAAATTTGGGGAAGGACCTCAGATCACCTGGACATCCTCCAGATGGGACGGGTGGGGTGAGGAAGGGCTGAGGCCCAGAAGAGAACGGTTTCCCAGGATACACCAGCCAGGGATGAGTGGGAGCAAGAGAAGAAACATGGACTTGGACATGGTAAACCAGGCTTATAGCAAGGGTGAGCTAATCCTACCCACGTGACACTGGGAGAACCTCTCCAAGCCTGCCTCTTCACCTGGAAATGAGGCATTAACACCTGCCTCACAGTGACAGTTGGCAACCACCTGCAATAACTTTTGGAAGAAAACTGCAATACAAATGTTAGTTATTATCACCGATAAAATGGGGTCGGAACCCAAGCCTTCACTCCTGCTTCGTTTTCTTTTAAAATATATTTTATTGATCTTTTGCAGAGAGGAAGGGAGAGGGACAGAGAGTCAGAAACATCGATGAGAGAGAAACATCGATCAGCTGCCTCCGGCACTCCCCCCCAACTGGGGATGTGCCCGCAACCAAGGTCCAAGCCCTTGACGGGAATCGAACCAGGGACCCTTCAGTCCGCAGGCCGACGCTCTGTCCACTGAGCCAAACCAGTTAGGGCACTCCTGCTTCATTTTCTTAATTCCTCCAACTTCTCCATCCAGAAAAAAAGTCCGTTGGGAAAACCAGCAGTGAGAATAAATATGACACAAATAGCCCAGAAGTATGAACCACGTAGATCAGAATTTGGTTTTCAGTAGTTTCCCTTATCTATGGGGAATATGTTCCAAGACCCCCAGTGGATGCCTGTATATACTGAACCTTATACATACTTTGGTTTTTTTTCTATGTATACATATTTGTGATAAAGCTTAATTTATAAATTAAGCAGAATAAGAAATTAGCAATAAAAAATGGAGCAATTATAACAATATACCATGATAAATGTTATGTGAATGTGATCTGTCTCTCTCTCTCACAGTATCTTATTGTACTGTACCTACAGTGTAGATATGCGAACAAAAGGAGGAGGATTCACAGCTCAGGTGAGATTCTATCATGCAGCTCATGCAATTTAAAACTTACGAGTTGTTTATTTTTGGAATTTTCCATTTCATATTCTCAGACCACAGCTGACTGTGGGTAACTGAAACCACAGACAGTGAAACCATGGATAAAGGGGGGCTACTCACCTTGTACCAACCTTTCTGTCCTCTTCACTGAGGACTTATGATCAGAATAAAAATTGTTTATTCATTTGCTCACTTACTCATTCTTGTAACAAATATTTATTGAGCATTTACTGTGTGTCAAGCACTGCTCTGAACACTGGGAACATGAGAGTGAATAAAAGACAAAATACACTCTTTTCATGGAACTTAGATTCTAGTAATTTAGAATCAGCCAACCAAATAAGTAACTAAATTATGCTGGATTAGTTCTGAGGAGAAACATTTTCAAAATTGAAAGCTTCTCTACAGGGTAACACCAGCACTGAGCTGGACTCAGACTCGCTAATAATAAAGACATGGCGTGAGGGATGGGTTTTGGATCCAATGTCAGAAACAGATACATATGCGGTTCCCCTGAGACTCGGCGTAGGCAGGTGAGCTGGAGGAGCACTAGGTCCCTCAACCAAGAACCTGCTTAACTTGTCTGAGCACAGAACATAGAACTCCAATTCGGAGCACACTGCCTAATGCCTGAGCTCAGTCTTCCCTGAACTCTAGCTTTCCCAGAACAACCCCAATATCAAATCACCTTTCTTGATGTTCCACTTACACGTTTGAACCGTTTCCACAACTTGGGCTTTATTTTTAGAGCTGCTTTAAGTTCACAGTGTAATTGAGCAGCAGGCACACACATTTCCCATGTACCCTTTGACCCCACTCATGTATAGTCTCTCTCGTTACCAGCATCCCCACCAGATCAGTGCATTTATTACAATCAATGAACCTACATTGACACATCATTATCACCCAGAGCCCATGGTTTACATTAGGGTTCACTCTTGGTGTTGCACAGTCTATAGGTTTGAAAAATCTATTATGACATGTGTCCATTGTTATCATACAGAATTGGCCTAAGAATCCTCTGTTCTGCTTACTCATGCCCACCTCCCTCTTAACCCTGGCAACCACTGATCTTTTTACTGTCTCCAGAGTTTGGCCTTTTCCAAGGTGTCATATAGCAGGAATCACACAGTGTGTGGCCTTTTCAGACTGGCTTCTGTCATTACAATATGCACCTAACTTTTCTCCAGGCCTTTTCATGGAGTGAGAGCTAATTTCTTTTTAGTGCTGGGTAATATTCCAGTGCAGTGGCCGACCCTTTCTTCTCTGACGTCCCGAGGTTTAGTTTTGTCGCAGGGATGGAGGATGATAGTGCAGAGCAGCCTCTGCTCCCACGAAGCGCACACTTTAACGGGAAGAGATAACCATGAACATGTAATACATACTCAGTCCGAGATAGTGAGTGCTATGGAGAAATGAGCAGGGTGGTGTGCTGAGGGCTGGCGTAGCTGCTTTTGGTCGGGCGGTCAGGGAAGAACTTGCTGGGGAGGGGACGTTTGGGCTGAGGTGAATGGTGAGAAGAATGTAGAGTGTCCCAGACAGAGGGGCGCTAAGTGGGAAAGCTTTAAGACACTTGGGCATGGGGAAGGCACAGGGCTTGAGAGCAGAGGGAAGGAGAGGGCAGCAGCAGGAGGGTGGCGAGCACAGAGGGCCTGGCCAGCCATGGTCAGACATGCAGGTAATGACTTCAAATGCCTGCCAATGCAGAGAGAGAATATTTGACTATCAGAACCTCACTTTTGTTGTTGTTAATCCTCACCCAAGGGTATTTTTCCCCATTGATTTCAGACA